GCGTTTTTGTAGTTTTTCGTATTCAAACAAAAAACGATTATGCAATTGATGAAATACGTAGTGTTACAATGGAAGTAAAATAAAGGTACAAAACGCCACAATATCGCGTAAGCGGTTATAACTTTCTGGAATTTCTGACGCGTTCTGGATGTGCCATTGGGAACCGGCATTTGGCTAGTACTGGGTCATGATTGGCTGTTGGTCCATATTGTTGACCAGTCAGATCTCGCGTTCGTACTGGGCCAGCCTCGGGCGCGCCAGGCTTCTCGGCCGTAGCGGTGCCCAAAGACTTGCCGTATAGTGAGTTCCGTGTGGATTGCTGCCTAACACAAGTCTACTCAATAGTTCATCCGGATATAGTCTCGGATTTCCATGGATGACTTAAAATACCGCAACAATCCAAACACAACGCGCTCCTGCTGATCATTCACACGTCGGTTCGCAGCATACACTCGGCAATCGGACGTACGCAGGTTATGCGAGTGTTGCATACATAAAAACTAATTATTACAAGGTGACTGTCTCGGTGAACGACACGCATGAACGATTGGCAGTCAAAATCAGCACACCTAAATATAAGTTATTTGCATGATTGTGCGCAAAGATATCAACTTACCGACGACCCTTTTGATTAGCATTCCAGTGAGAACGCATTTCACCGACATTCTGTTCGTCCGAGGATACATCCTGTGGAATATCACTATTACCACAACTTTTCGATTCTCCATTTTTGTGACCTACGAGGAGTTCATGGAAGGCTCCGTAGGATATTAATGATAAGAACCATCATTTGGTTTATATGCACTGCAACAGCGTTTGTAAGCGTTTGTTTCAGTCGCCCTCAGACTTTTTGTAAGGTGTAACGCTTTTTTAAATATAATCCACGGCGACTTACATGGTCTCTACATACATGCGATGGGAGTGTTGTTGACACAAATCAGTGCAACCTGAAGCGCCATTCAGCGGTCAGGTATAACTATACAGCCGAAAATGAAGTATTTATCGCGCAGTGTTAATTTGTATGTGACGAACTAACGACAAACTGTTTCCGAGGTTGTGGTAATGCCATCAACCCATCCTGTGAACCTACATGACATTCTACCGCATTTAACCATCCTACTTGGCCGTACCATCGTTGCAACCGTGGTGGCGGCATCCTGCACGTGGTGGGCACCCGGAGCGCAAGCGGAGTAAGCGAGGAATGACCATTTGTGGCTCGACACCAGTTTATATACCACCCTGACACTGGCCTTCACACACCAGCTGCCCGGTCCAGACCGCAAGTCACTGACTCTGAACAAAGTCCGGTGCTGCTCAAAAGGCATCTGCTGTGCGCAGTCGCATCAGGAATGAAACAGTAATGCCTTACTCCCTGCGCCCTCGGGTCGGGACGGCCCCCGACATCAAAGTAGGTCAGACAATTGAGTCACTGGCTCTGGGCCCCCAAGAAAACTGTAACAACCGCTGTCTCTCGGTCCAGACTCTTGAGTCAGAGGCCAGGGACAGGGTCCCCGAACAAAACCCTACGTCCTCCCACTACCTTGTGGGCCAGACTTTTGGATCAAAAACTCAAGGGGCTCGACAACTAACCCCCTCTTCTTCGACCTGGACAACCGGGAAGTACCATTTGCTCTTGCAGCCCACTGCTCACCGGCTCTCTCCTTCATTTCCTCCAAACCCATCACACAATGCAATGCAATGAACCCATCTGCCAATATCCTAGCCACTGTTCCATGTCTCGATCATCGCCAAGAAAGATAAACCAAAATAATCACCTACTAACTCAAAAGATCTGATCCACATTGGGGCCTTCAATGTCCGTACTCTATGTTACTTTGGGTAACAGGTATCCCTTGCTGAAACCTTACTTCCCCTCTCTGTCAATGTATGTTGTATCTCCGAAAGACGCATACAAGACACCACCTCCGTCATGCGCCTCAAGCCGACTGGAACGATCTCAGCTGTTCCACACTTCACCCTTCGACTATCTGGCGATCTTGACGCAATGGCTCGTGTTTCCTTCGGTGTGGGAGTTGCACTCAGCCCCAAGACTGAAAGCGTCTTACTGAACAGGGTCTCACTACACAATTGTCTTTGCGCTGTGTGGTTGTCTGGCTCAGTTGGGATCAATGCAGGTCGATACGGTAAATGGTATTTATTTGTCCTATCAGCATGTGCCCCAAAAGATAGCAGTTCTGAGACTGAAAAGGACGAGTTTTATCAAGATCTGTCACGACTGCTTTGTTGGGAAAGCAGGACGGACACTAATCCTGGTCGGTGGTATTAATGCCCAAGTTGGACGACTAAGTACGGAAGAAGCACAGTTAGGTGGTCGATATGGAGTCGATGCTGAGAGTACCGATAACTGAGAGCGGCTTCTTCAATTGTGTGCCGATCATCCGTTCCTGGCCAGTTAGAACTCCCAGCACAAACTCACACCGAGTTACTTTGAGGCCACCTATCACAAGATAGTTGTAGACTCAGTTGAACCATTTGGCTATCAGTTACCGATGGAGAGCCTCAGTTAGGGGTTGTCGTTCCTTCTGGGGGTACGCAACTGGACTCTGATCACGCCATCGTGCGGGCCCGCTTAACACTTCGTTTTCCGCCAGCACTACACGTGCCAAAAGAGGGCTCTTCGTTCATCACCGACAAGTTTCCGTAGCTGAAGAGTATCGAGCTGACCTAGCTAGAAAGCTACGAGAAGTGCACAGCCATGTAAAATAAATAATAAATCGTTCAGCTGTAGCACTCTTTCGGTGCCTCACTGCCATGCCGTTCGAAAGAAGAACGAGGGCTGGGATACTGTCAGGTTGCCCAAGCCAAGACAGGGGAAGTCGAGAGGGAGGTCAGTAAATTCGCGCTCGCTCCTGGCACAGTCATGCAGACAACAAAAATTGCTTAAAGGATGAGTAATGGTGAGTTAAAGAAGCAATGCTGTCAGCCTTCAGAACTGTTTGTCCCGCCCATCTGAATCGATTGAATGAACACTGGACATCTTCGAGATCAGCAGATCTTATTGCTGCCAGAAAAGCCATACCGGAAACTATTGACTATGATGACGCACGCAGATCCCTCAAACACCGGATAATCAGGAGCTTGAAGAATGACAAACGACGCTGGTGGATTTCGAAGGCCCAGGAGATGGAGAGGGCTTTTGCTGCAAGTGATAGCCGCGCCCTGTTTCAACTGATACAAACAACGAGTCAAAAGAAGACATGTCAGTGAAACAATATGCGAGAAAGACGGAACAGTAATTCACTCCATCAATCGCCGTCTTGAGCGGTGGACTAAATACTTCCAAGATCAGTTCACCGCACAACCGCTGAAAGAACCAAGCGGGCCCGAATGGAACATTGACACTTACCCACCATCAGCAACCGAAATCCAGCGCGAGATTTCATTCCTGAAGTGCGACAAGCACCTAGCCCGGATGGTCTACACTCCGCGCTCTTCAAAGAAGGTGGTGAGATCCTGGTGAACAGTCTGACAACCATACTGCAGATGATTTGGAACGAAAACAGAATACCAGCCGAATGGTGCTCCTCAACCATCATCCCAGTTTTCAAAAACGGAGCAAGAACGTCATGCGAAAACCATCGTGGTGTCAGCCTTGTTCAATGGGTACCTCGGCGACCCATTGAGCTATACTGGGGAGTGTCCGCACGATGCTCACAGAGTCTCTCATACCAGGTTGGTCCATGGGTAGAGGTCCGACGAACAAGTTTCCTGGCCGTCCAGGTTGGGGGTTGGAACATGTATGGCGACGTGTTCCGTAAGAAAAATGGTAATGTACTTGCATTTCCAGCCGAACACCGCTGCCTTGCGGTTAGGATTTTGAGCCAAAGGCTTTGGATGAGGATCCTAATTGTCTTCCTGTCTAGGTGTGAGCGCCCTGGCAGTATCCCAGCCAACGTACAACCATGAACTGCACATACACAAATAAATTCATGCCACATCGGATACTTTCTCCGCAGGTCCCAGCTATAGGACTGACCGTGTTGCTCGCCCTGCATCACACTCAGCTGCAGCCTCTGCACGTCCGAGTTTAGTTACAACCCTAAACACTTCGAAGTCTGTTTTCAAACCCCGAAAGCCTGTCTATTCAGCCACCTTCAATGTGCACACACTGAATCAAGCAGATCAACAGGTGGCTTTTACGCGTACGTTGGGTCCCCTCTGTATTGATGTATGTTGTCTGTCAGAAACAAGGACGCGGGACGCAAGTACTGTGATCGAACTGACTGTCTTCTCGCTCTCCTCCGGCTGCGCACCTCTGGTGATGCAGAGGACGCAAGTACTTCGAACTGACTGTCTTCTCGCTCTCCTCCGGCTGCGCACCTCTGGTGATGCAGAGGCCGCTGCAGCTGGGTATGCTGGGGGGGGTATTGTATTGAGCGAACGGTTCACCGCACCCTGTTTATTGTGTCTGCATACACCCCAACCGACTGCAGCTCTGAATCTGCCAAGGACAGTTTCTATGACGCTCTAGGTGCCCTTCTACAGCAGGCTAAAAGCAAAGCTCAGATTGTGGTTACTGGTGATATGAACACCCAGGTAGGTAGACTAAGCGCTGCTGAGGCCCGATTGGGTGGTCGTCTTGGTTTGGTTTGGCGGACAACGGAGACCGCTTACTTCAGATGTGTGCCGATCACAGGCTGTTCCTGTGCAGTACGAATTTCCGGAACAGCGGAAGTAGCTTGACAACGTGGTGCCCACCATCAAACCAGCGCCGAATCCAAACAGACCACATCGCCGTCAGTTATCGGTGGCGGAGGGTCGATACCGACTGCCGCTCCTTCTGGAATACCAGCGTGGACTCCGACCACGCACTTGTACGCTGCTGCTTTTCATTGCGCTTTTCAGGTGTACACAAAACGCGTACACCTCGCTTAGCCATTGAGAAGCTAGTGGACCCAGAAGTCAAGCGAAACTATCAGAACCAGCTCCTCGAATGCCTGCCGGACGGTACGGTGTCGGATATAAA